CCCCCCCCCCCCCCCCCCCCCCCCCCCCCCCCCCCCCCCCCCTCTCTCTCTCTCTCTCTCTCTCTCTCTCTCTCTCTCTCTCTCTCTCTCTCTCTTTCTTTGTCTGTGGAACTTCATCCGAGTAAAGTGTGTCGATACATGTCTTTATCTGTGTATCTTTGGATGCGTTGATATGACTGCCATCGACTTTTGTGTGTATGTGCAATCTCTGAGGAGCAAACCGTGAACATTGTCCAAGAAAGTTCAAAGTTCTTGGTGTTTGATTTTCCATTTCCAACTCTGAACAATGACGTCATAATTTTTCTTTGTTGTTTTTTTTCAAACCACGGCCCCTATGGGCAAACGTTTTTGTGATTTTTTTTGTTTTGTAAATAATTAGCGTTATGCCCGGGCCTTCAAGATATTCAAACGTTCCATCCTAGAAAACACACGCCTTTCCATGCAAAGGTTCACAAGATGAGCAGTTTGTCGGTACAACAGAGCTTCACCCATGGCCAAGACCACAATCCCTTAAACAATCGGACTAACCATATCGGACTAACCATGACAGGGATTTACACAAAGGGCTTCAGCAGAGGTCAACTCTTACAAGAGTAGTCTCTTTCATACGGTTCCGTACATCAATCATCAGAGGAACCTTTGATATTCTTGTTGTTTAGGTGCCCATATTTCGTCAATTATGTACCCATTTTCGCCTGCAATTTTCAACAGCATGTGAAAAAAAAAAAGAGTGGTGGACAGTGTTAGGGAGACAAAGCATGTGGAAGGGCATCCATTTGGCATAACGGGGGCAGATCTTCTTTTTTTTTTTTTTTTTTTTTAATATTATAAAACCCTTATGCAAAGCCACTATCCCGGTGGTGGTAAGAGAACCACTGGAATTGAGACTTTGCCTAGAGGGCCGCTCCATCTATTGGTGGGGAGCCTCACCTGCTTGAAACGGGTGCACGCAAATTGGGAAGTATCCCATCCTCGAAGCACACAAGGAAAGTGAAAAAAAAAAGAAAAAAAGATGGACTGAGTCATGGAGAGAGAGAGCATGTGACAGGCAATAGATGCGACATACCCAGGGCAGAAGGAGTGCATGCAAATTCGGAAACTCGTGATCGTAGAAGCACTCCAGGAGTAAAAAAATAAATAAATCTCCATAGCCATACAATTCTCTAAAAAACTACCTGAGAATGTGAAAGACAAATCCATACAAAAGATAATTGTCGTATCGCCCAAAACACCTTCGTGGATGGAAGACACACACAACCACACACACACACACACACACCCTTGCATTCAAGTCATCCAATTTTTTCACTTGCGATAACGAAATTGTGAAATCGGTGGGGTTTAAACGAAAACACAACAGTGCACCGATCATCTGTGTTAATCCCAATATCTGGCTTTGCCATGGCCCTAAGACACCCAAAACTGCCCCTACACCATCCTCACCCCCCCACCTTTTGGCCTCCGCAGTTGACTGTGAGGCAGTGTGAGCCCATAGCCAGTCGCCCAAGGAAGGCGAGAGCCACAGCAGCCCCAAATCCGGCCAATGAACGTGTTAGACGGTTCACTGGGGGCCTATCACCGGCATACGTACACACAATTTTTATCCTCCGGGTCCCAAACTTGCACTAGTCTGTGCAGGTACGATCTGCCCCTACAGGGGGGTTCCAACACAGTCTTGTAGAAAGGGGTGTCTGCCATCTTGCCAGCATGCTCAGCGGCTATGGGCGACATCACATGTCGGATTATGTCCCCAACATCGTCACAGTCATTACAAACCCACTCGTCGGGGATGATGTCATGCAGTTTCTTTGCGAAGATGATGACGTTGGACAGCAGATCCCTGTCGCCGTATCCGCCAACAGCTCCATGGCATAGATTCCGCTGTCGTATCCGCCAACAGCTCCATGGCATAGATCCCGCTGACGAGCACGTCGTACGGGGGTGCACCCAATCCCACGCACGCCACCGCGCGGCCAACCTCAAGGCCGTTGAAGAGAGTACACAGTTCCATCTCTCTCTCTCTCTCTCTCTCTCTCTCTCAAAATTCAGGACATCGCAGCGGCTCTCTCTCTCTCTCTCTCTCTCTCTCTCTCTCTCTCTCTCTCTCTCTCTCTCTCTCTCTCTCTCTCTGTGTCTGTCTGATGCATGCTCAGTAGAGCAAATTGAATGTATATGGAGCCAAGGATCCACGAAGTGGTGAAAAGGACTCAAATGGACAATGCAGTGGTCAGCAAATGACTCGAATGGACAATGCAGTGTCAGCAAAGCATCGACAAGCGGTGTACATCCAGATATGTAGCGCTGTGACGCCCCAACCTCATGCCCAGCGCGACTTCCTGATCGGAGTGGGATGGGGCCCCGGAAGTGCGAAAAGGGGGTGTGCCAAGGATTTTAGGAAAGTGGGAGTGGAGTCCCAGGTCGGAACTGAGATCTCCAGTGGCAAGTGTTGGGGACAACGGTGCAACTTGAAGATGGTATGTGAAGATCGTTTCTGGTGTTTCCTCCTTCGGGAATGGGGCTATGGTCTCTGCCAGTTGCGTCGCCGCGGCCGGTCCCTTATCTGGTGGACCGGGGAGACACCGTGGCTGTCGCGCTGGGCGAACAACTGTCGGCGCTGCTCGTACCAAGCTTCGGAATCCGACGAGGCGGACCGTAAGCGAAGGCTGTGCAATTGCTGCTCGGCTTCGGTTCAGGTTCGCCGGAAAAATGCCGAAGCCCGGTATGTCTGGTACCACTCGCAATCCCCGCACGGTGGGCGGGGCCAATAGCGAGCTAGGGAATTTCACGGTACCAATGTGAGCTGGTGATATGGAAGGAGGAGATGGAAGGGAGGGAAACTGGTATTAATAACGACGAAGCTCGGAGATATGTAATATTGAGTGTTGTCGGTATCGGGATAGTCTGGGCCCCTGGGATCGCTGGTTATGGGCCAGTGAAAATCCCCCGCGCACAGTCGGTTGTTCTCCGTTAGACAGGGGAATTCCGGGTTTCTCAAGTTTCCCCGCCGTCTGAGTTGTTTGCATTTCTAGTGCTCGCGATACTCCGGGTCCCTCATGCTTTCACGATCGGTGATCCAAAAGGGACTTTCCTCAGCCATATCCGGCTAGCAAATTTGGTTTCCCTCATCCTCATGGTAATTTCGAGGTGGACTCATGCAGACGCGCGCGTACGCTGCGACTCGGTCTTCTTGAGATCACGGTCGTACGTGAGCGTGCACATGAGCGGAAGCAGACTAGACTCGGGCCTCTTGTGTCGAGGTAGCGATTATATCCTACATGCATGCAACTATCCTATCTCTACTAGGTTGGGTGAGATCCAAGACTCATATTCATACCATTCATGTGACGAAAGGAGAGGGAAAGGGAAAGGACAATTAACACATCACAGCATTTTTGGTGATCTGATGACGATCGAAGACTAACGATCAAACCCAAACATCCGTAGCGAGTGCTTTCAATCAGATGCAAATGGATACTAGAATTAAACAAGCATCCCAAAACAAGATTGGAAATCTGAAAAGATCACTAATGAAAAAAAATTCACATCCATTCCATGCATACATACGAGGCAAAAGCGACAAAGAAAATCCGAGATGATTTACAAGGAAAAGTTTGAAAGGCCGCAACAAAATCGGCCATAGTAGAAACCAAAATTATTTAGATAAACAAAGAAGGGACTTCATCCCACTCACGACTGCTCTTCTCTCTTTCTCTCTCTCTCTCTCCGCTCTACACCCCCGATACGGGCAGTTCGTCGCTGCGTATCAACTCAAAGTTGTCACCCCGCTTGGTCCGAGCATGCAAGCCAGGTTCGTCCGTGCGCCACAGTCCTCCGCGGCCCCGCACGTCAACCCCGCATACCCAACACCAGCTCGTCGGGTCGCCCAATTCTCTCGTCGACTCATCTCTCAAGCTGACTCATTAGCCGACCCTCATTGATCGCGCTAACTCCAAGGTTCATAGAGAGCAAACTAATCGTGCTTGCAAGATTTAGAGCTTGCATGCTTGCGCGAAAGGTACGAGATTAAGCCTAAGTGGTCAGGAGGGGAAGAGAGGAGGTGCCTACGTCTGCATGGCCAGGCCACGGCGTGGGGGTCGTAGCCACACTCCACGCATCGATCCGGTCATGCAGGCGTTCAGACCAATTAAAACAGAGTATGTGAGGCGAGGAAGAAATGGAAGGCGGGTAAACACGAGGAAACCAAAGAAGAAGAAAGATACATTTACAATCGCGCCCGCCAAAAACGACAGTTACACAAGATTAAGGGCGCGATGCAGTCAGAGCCCAACTCCTAGTGCCACGAGATGTGCGCGAGTGAGAAGCGTGGCGTAGCAAAATTCAGAGTACCTAAATTCCTATCCTAAGTCCTAACTGCAAAAAAAAATTCCGAAAAGCCCAAGAACAATTCCGTGAGCTCGTGGGGGTTTGACGTCAGTTGAAATTCGAAAACGATATTCCAGTGCGATGATCACGCCAAAAATTTCTACTGCTCACACTGCCTCACAGCAGAACAAGAAAGAAGTCATGACAATCGTTTTTCATCTCGCTCGCTAAGGTGCAGTTACCCAATCGTTGGCGTGGGACCTTCCCGAGACCGACCCGACAAATTTCCACAGAAAACAAAAAGAAACGAGGTCATCCATGCAACTTGGCCCGACCCACCCATCTTTTCCCCAACTCATCCATCCGACCCATCATTTCCCGTGGACGGCTTCGCGCAGAAAGTCGCGTGATTACAGAAAATGGTTCGTCGCACTGCAACGGAAGACTCAAAGATATGACCTGACCTGTCAGATACTGACGTCACATCCCATCATACAGCACACATGTGAGAGCGGGAGGAGGGACCGCATATATGGAAGAAAGGCCCCTCCTTGCACACACATATGGGGGAGATACAACGGATGAGAGATGGGGGGAGAGGTGAGACGAAGATGGAGGTGAGGGAGAAGCCAAGATTGCAATAGCGAAGTCCAAAAATAGTCTCACTGCCGAATATCAAATCAATGTCTGCCCCAAAAATGTCGAATTAGATCCTGGGCATCATGCCCAATATAACCTCTGCCTGTAACCTCTCTGTCTCTTTGAAAGAAGAAGAAGAAGAAGAAGAAGAAGAAGAAGAAGAAGAAGAAGAAGAAGAAGAAAGGAGGGAGAAGAGATGGAGGACAATGAAGAAGAAGAATATGTTGTCCTCCTCGCTGTCTTGCCTGCATGTAACTGCCGCCATGTACTAACTGTCGTCATGGTCCCTATGCAGGTTGCTTGCGTGGAGCGCGGCTATGGCGCCAAGGTAAGTACCGCCGATGCAGGTATGGCCTCCACCCCTCTGCCTACCTACGCCTCTACCTCTACCCTTAGTGGAGCGCTGATGTTGCAGCACTGCTCCAGCAGCGTGTCGCCCAAGAAGTGAGCTACTGTGTGTCGGTCCTTATGTGGCCCAGCTATAAGTAGTGCTGGCCCGGCTGGTCTGCCTATGTGTGTGTGCCCAAAACGTGGGCGTACATGGTTTGGGTCCCACCGGACGTCCTGAATGCTGGTTACTGTGTATATATATATATATATATATATATATATATATATATATATATATATATATATATATATATATACCCAAAACACCGAGTACACGATGGCACAGACACACTCCCTCTTCTTCCAAAAAGATAAACCGCCGCACGGCCGAGCATATGGACCAACGGGAGCTAAGTGACACTTCCTCGCCTCACACACAACGACCCTGCCTCCTTAAATAGCCCTTTGACAGGGGAACTCCTATGGACCGCAGGCTTCCGAAACACTTGGAAGCAGACTCGGAAATTCGCACTCATGCGAAAAAAAAATAATAAATGAATAAATATATATAAGCGGATTTTTTTATTTTGTTTTTTAAATGTGATTTACTACTTTTTCCATACCGCGTACCAGTGTACCACACCTCCTCAATTCTCCGCTTACGCTGTTGATGTGCAAAACGGTGCACGCCAATCTACGGGCTTGCCGGATCGTCGCCCCCTCCCGGGCTGCCCCGTCTTCGTGCCATAACCCCGACCAGCATCTCCAGCACGTGATTTTTCAGCTGCATGGTCGTCGCCACGTTGCCGATCTGGGTCGCCATGTCACCAATCCGCACAGCATTAACTGTCACACTCTCTTTGCTTGCTCTACCAAGTGTTCCAACAGCCTTCTCCAGCGCCCTGTCCAAACTTTCGCAATAAGCACTAGTGGACTCATGCATGGCTTGAGCGACCGAGGAAACGGGCGGTGCACTATTTTGAGAAGCGTGGGTCTTTCTGCTCCCTGTCCGACATATCTTCCGGGCGCTCTCGGATTCATCGGTTGTCCCTCCTCCTGGAATAGGCGCATCACCTCCATGTGACGGGCCGGGCCCCATTGGTTTCCCTGCACCATCTGATGTGCCTCCAGGCCCTCCACCTCCAGACGTCCCTACTCCCTGCGTTCCAACTCCCATATCTAATGTCCCAACAGTGCCAACACCCCTCGACGCTTGAGCTTTGGTGGATGCTCCATCCCCTCTACGCAAAGAGGAGGGAGCCAAGTATTGTCACATCTCACCAACGTCAGATTCTTGTACCACTCCATTGCCTCCCATAGCTGTTGTTCGAACTGCTCACCGGTCATATCCCAATACGATGGCTTAGCAGAACCGCCGCACTTGTCCCTTACGATCCGCAACTTGTTTGTCAACTCCGACCATTTTTTCCTATAGTCCTCAGCAATTTTGTTCCACCCTCGCTCTGACATCCTCTTCACCACCCACTCATTCCTCTTCGATCTTTTCATACATTTAATCCTCCCACTGGCATTCGCCATGAGGGCATCGTCCTCCCTCATACATTCCACCAAATCCACTTTCTCCTCCAACACCCAAGGCCTGTTCTTTTTCACCCCATCAGTTGGAGTGGTTTGCAGAGGCTTCCCGACATCATCAACTAGCTTCCTGCTCGCAACATCATGCATGACAACACTATATGCAGGGGCTGCCTCCCTCTCTTTAACACCGTCAATGGATATGTCGTCATCCTGGTTGCCTACATCTACCACGTCGTCGACTACAATCACAAAGGGTCTCACTGGGGGCGTGAGAGGAAGCTTCTGCATTCGGGGGGGGAGCATCGAGTCATCACTATTGTACGATGCCCAGAAACCTCATGCCCGACGTGGCTTCCGGTTCGGAATGTGGGTGGGCCTGGAAGTGCGAAAAGGGGTGTGCCAAGGATTTTTGGAAAGTGGGGGGGTGGAGTCCCAGGTTGGAACTGAGATCTATTGTGACAAGTTTCACGGATGCGAACGCAAGAGGATAGGTGTGGATCTGAGTCCTGTTAGGGAAGCGGGGTTACCGCCTCCATTGGTTCTGTCGTCTGGGTCAGACTTGTATCTGGTGGACCGTCGGGACGCTGTGGCTATGTCGCTGGTTGATCACCTGTTGGCGCCGAAGGTTGCAGGCCTCGGAGTCGGACGCGGCCGGTCTTAGCCGAAGGCTGTGTGCCCGTCACTCCTCCGAGTGAGTTCGTCAGATGAAGCTAGAGGCTCGATACTCTTGATCCTGCAGGCACTCTGAGCACCGAGGATGGGGCTTGTAGGGGGCGATTGAGGGCCAGGGGACGATGGTTAAGGAGTGATAGGGCAGGATGCAGTGGTAGGGAGGAAACTCGGCCCCTAAGATAATGATCCCGGGTTCTGGGACGACGTGACACGTGTATAGGCTAGAGTAGCTGGGGAGATGGGGGATACGTCCCAAAGCCCGGTCGAGATCCCACTCACAAATACGTTCGGTTCCGGTTAAGTAAGGGAAGTTCGGCGGGTCCGCCCTCGATCGGGCTAACGAGCAGAAGTGTTCCTAGCATCCTCAAAATTCCCGATCTCTGAAACACTCCCGGTCGGTGACACGAAAAGGAATTTTAAAATTCATATTATAGGATAGGCAGACATTTAGACATTCAGGAAACCGATCGAGTTCGGTTTCGCAGACACGCGTGTAGGCAGCGATCATACTTGGTCGGGCCTATACATGCGTGCACGAGACCTGTCCTTCAATCGGATGGGTGAAAGTTAGTTGTTTGCGGGATGGATCGTCCTATGATGAGACAAACATCTTAAGCCTCTAGCATGCATATCTAGTTCATACACCGACAGGATCACACCTAACATCCATGCATTCAGCTTCACGCACACGCATACACATCCACAAAAGGAATCGCGGATCCTTATGCAACAGTTCTTCTGCCAACAGATCGCAGGTGACCAACCAATCAGATTTATACATTCAAAAATTAAGAGAAGGGGGAGTGGAGGAATACAGCCATACATCGATCTCTGAAGAGAACAAATGAAAAATCCGAGGTGCCGATCCTGAAAGGAAAAGGGCGACTTGCGCCGAATACAAAAATTGCTCAGAAGGATGGAAGAAGAACAAAAATTACTCAGAAGAATAGAAGAGAAACATCACCACAACACCTCCTCTCTCTCTCTCTCTCTCTCTCTCTCTCTCTCTCTCTCTCTCTCTCTCTCTCTCTCTCTCTCTCTCTTCATCACCCCGATGCGGGCAGTTCGTCGCCTCGCACCCACACAGAGTCTGTCTCTTATACACATCTAGATGTGTATAAGAGACAGATCAATCAATCAATCAATCATGACAATCAATCAATCAATCCATCAATCAATCAATCAATGAAACCTTTTTTTTTTTTATTTGTTTTCAAATTTTGCATCTGCATTTTTTTTAAACACCTCATTTCCCTGCAAAAAAACAGAAATTCATTTTTTTTTTAANAAATAGATGCATTGGTAGGATATAAAGTAGAACACAATACTACAAAGAAGCATACTACTCGGGACAGGAGTCTGTCCTGGAGGTACAACCACAGTCAAGATAGGCACACTTACAGCAAACTCTTAAAAAAAAAAAAAAATAAATGATAGATAGTACAGTGTACATAGCTGTCTCTTATACACATCTATATGTGTATAAGAGATAGCTCTCTCTCTCTCTCTCTCTCTCTCTCTCTCTCTCTCTCTTTTCATAACGTCTCGATGCGGGCAGTCCGCCACTTCGCACCCACACAGTGTTGTCACCCCGCTTAGCCCGAGCAGGCAAGCTAGGTTCACCTGTGTGCCACAGGCCGTTGCGGCCCAACGTCAACCCCGCATGCCCAGCACCGACTCGTCGGATCGCCCAACTCTCTACTCACTTTCCAAATCTTGCTCGTTAACGGATCCTCTCGACCGCGCTAACTTCCAGAATTCTTAGAGAGCGTGTTAATCGCGCTTGCGAAATTTATAGGATGCATGCGTGCATGCGATACCCGGGACTGCGTCTGGGTAGGAGGAAGGAGGAAGGAAGTGCCTACGACTGCATGGCCAGGCCACGACGTGGGGGGCGTAGCCTCACTCCACATGTGGATCCGGTCATGCAAGCGTTCAGACCAATAGGGCAGGGGAAGAAGTACGTGCGCACAGGGATGCCACAAAAGATATCAAGAACGAGAAGATTATAGTGACAATTACGCCCGCCAAAAAGAAAAATTACAGTTACACGCAAGGATTAAGGCGTGGAAAAGTTAGAGCGCAGATCCTGACGCGGCAAGGCGTATGCAAGCAAGAAGCGCCGTCACCGCCGTGCAACAGAAATTGAGGTGCACCCAAATTCCTAATCTAAATCCCAACTGCAAAAAGAAATTCCGAAAGAAGCAAATTCCGAGAGCCTGCAGGGGGCTCGATATCAGTTGAAAATTCAAAAAGATTTTCCCGCGCACCAGAATTCGTATTTCCCACAGCAGAACAAGAAAGAAGCTATGTCAACAGTTATCTTTCACTCTCGCTAGGGCGTGATCGGCTACCAACTGTCGCAAGATTACCCCAACCTCAATTCCAAAGGAAAAACGAACAAAGCAAGGGCACCCACACAATTCACCATGCCATCCCGATTCAACCCCCGAAGTAGTCTTGCGCAAAAAACCACGTGGCTGCAGAAAACAGTTCGTCACACTGCGGCCAGCAACCGTGTGTGCATGACGGCCATCAACTTCATGTGATGTCACGCCGAAGACAAAACCCTCTGATGCAGAAAACGATGACGACCTTGACACCCCCAACACACGCCAAGTCCCTGTAGAACTTTGCATATCACTGGCAAGAGGGACCCCAAACTGCCAGTTCAACCAAAAGCTCGTGAAGTCGGCATCAAGGTTGGTGACGCCCGTGGCAGGTGGTATGTAGACTGCTGCGGTGGATTGCTGGTGCTGATCAGTGGACTGTTAACACTGATGAATCCTCCCCCGCTCATCGACGGGGGAGTCCATCGATTGGGGGAAGAATGATCGATACAACGATTCGATCCTGGATGGAGTGACGAGGTTTTTCTTCCATACAGGCAAGGGGCCGATGGAGAACGGCATCACTGTCGCGGAAGGACAAATGGAAGCATCCTGGCTCAGCTGTGACAAGCCGATGCTACCCTGTGACTGCATGCTTCCTTCCGTGCGGCAATGGCCATTTCTCACTAGAATTGGAGCCACACAGGGGACTTCAGTTCTGTCTGTATCCCCACACTCCATTTTCCAAAAATCCTTGGCACACCCCACTTTGTTGTCCTTCCAGGGTCTTTTCCACATTTTTATCACCCGATCGGAAGACAGTCCAGGGCGTGAGGTTGAGCATCACAATTCTGTCGGTGAAAGAGTAGAAAGAGGTTAGCATTTTTTTTTTTTTTTTTTTTTTTTTTTTTTTTTTTTTGCTAACAGAAAGATGTTAGCATAGTCCACCTGCCTGAGGGGTTTCCATGAGAAAGCCCAACCTTTGCTACTGTCCATGGTAGTGGTTTTCATCGGGGAGAGGAGACAATTTTTCGGCTACTTTTTAGGGCGCAATTCCTTCCCGGCCATTTACTGTCATGCTGGCAGCCCGGCGTATAGGCCCGGGCCTGCTGTTGTCTGAGGCCCAGGGTACAGTGTCAGTTTCCGGTGTCTCTCCTGACCAGCAGGACTGTTGACAGTCTCGAGGGAGTAATGGGGTTGGTTCCTCTCGGACCTGGCCTGAAGCTAAAAATCAGACATCACGTCCACCTCACCTTCCTATGTGATTGGCGAAGGTCGGTGGTGTGGGAACAGACTGGTTCCTTGAAACCTGGGCCAAAGAGAGAGTTTGCAGAGGCTTTAGGCTTTAGGGTTTAGGGTTTAGGGTGACTCCACGATGGCGGCCGCAAAGTGGTTGTTAAAAAAAAAAAAAAAAAAAAAAAGGGGTTCTCGAATAGGGGTTAGTAGTGCACAGTGTCAACCTCAGGGCTTGCTTGCTTTGCAATGGAGGGGGGCAGTATTTGGTTGGTAAGTAGGTCTGGATGCAGCGCCTAGCAGAGCCAGGAGGATGGGAGATTCTGAAAACTTAGGGATTTAAGGAGTAGCTCTGTGGTAGGTACTAGGTAGTCTTCAATTTTTTAGCTTAAACCACCTGTACTTCCTAAAGTTGTGCCCGTTAATTTTTTAGCCATAACTTCAGGAAATGTATGGGAAACTAAAGGAGTGTAGCCGTTCAGAAATGAAAAGACAACGCACCGTAGAAAGATATGTCATTTAGAGTAGATACATCATTCATCCATCCATCAGGTGAGAAAGCAATCCACAAGCTCACACACACAACCAAGACCGCAGAGAGGAGGAAGAGAACCCAACACACCCCCAACAGGCCATGAAGCACCAAGCAACCTCCCATGGGCTTACCCAGGTCACACGACACTTACCTCTGAGGCCCAGCCTCCAACGATGGATAACGAGTCACTCCTCTCTCATATAGGTCCTCCTGACCCCTAGCTACCACAACACGAAGTGTCCTAGCATGACTAAGAGGGCCTTCCTACACCCCTGTTGCAAAGTCGGATCCCCCGTCGATGCCTGAAGACCAAAGTAGCAACTTGCAGGAATCCGATGCAGATATGGCAGCCTCCGATCAAGTCTCCCTCTTGAGGGGAAGCCCAAAAGTCACTTAGTGTCTTCCTGAAGTCCAGATTCCAGGTGCGAGTACCTCTCACTCTCTACTCCCTCTCCCTTACTCCAAACAGCCTCCTTTGTGTCTCGCCACCCCATACATTCACTCAAGCAACCTGGTGGTCCAATGTCGACCCTACATGACCTAACCAGGTGGGGGCAGCATCCCCATAGACTAGAAACATTTCTACTCTATTTTTTTCCAAGGCCTATAGCTGGGCCAAGTGCCGGTGGTTTAACTGTGCAAGTTGTGTTTTCCTTCGCACGTTCT